GGCTCTAGCCCCAGGAAATGTCCCACTGGCTGTCACACACGCAGGTGTCTCAGGCTGGCATCTCCAAGAGTTAGCTGCATCCCATTACACGTGTTGCCCCAATGCTTTTGCAGCACCCCTGCATGTCAAGGGTCTCCTGTGCCACCCCCCCAGAAGAAGAGAAACTGAACCACAAAGCTCAGGCCATCACACCCTGGGATGAGTTATTTACCCAAGAAGAAGCATTTGGTCCTTGGGCTCTGCTCCAGCATTGCCTCTCCAGCATCCTGAGCCCATTGCCTGCCTCCATGGCTTGTCCCCAAACCCCTTCCCACCCACCCTGCATCAGCTCTAATGCTCCATCTGTCCTTGAGCCCAGTCATCTCCCCCAGCCTTTCCTCTTCAATGTTCAATGTCTCCACCTGAATGAAGCCCCCATCCCTGTCCTCCTTCTAGGCGTCACCCACCTCCGGTTCCAGCGGCCACAGGACTTTGACTACAAGTCTGGGCAGTGGGTGCGCATCGCCTGTGTAGCCCTGGGCACCACTGAGTACCATCCCTTCACCCTGACCTCGGCACCACATGAGGACACACTGAGCCTGCATATCCGGGCTGTGGGGCCCTGGACCACTCGCCTGCGGGAGCTCTACTCCCCTGAAAGCCTGGCCCTCATCGGCAAGCTGCCCAAGGTAAGCCCTGAGATGCTTCTCCAGCAACAGGGAGCCCAAGATCATCTCAGCAACAGGTTGTGCCCAGCCCAAAGCACTTCTCTGGCCTTGAAGGTGGCCAAGACCTGGGCAAGTGGAGAAGGGAGATGCTCTGCTGACAGCTGGTTTCCTTCCAGCTCTATCTGGATGGGCCTTTTGGAGAGGGCCACCAGGAGTGGAACAAGTTCGAGGTGTCAGTGCTGGTGGGAGGAGGCATTGGGGTGACGCCCTTTGCATCCATCCTGAAGGACCTGGTCTTCAAGTCATCCATCAGCTGTAAGCTGCTGTGTAAGAAGGTAAGTGGAAGCATCTGGAGGACAAGAGCCCTCCTGAGATGCTTCCCGCTGCTGGTGGCCTCTTCAGGGGCAAAATTCCCCATGACCCAGCTAGTAAGGAGCCCCATGGACGTTTGTGTGGTGCCAGTCCTGTGCTGAGACTTGTCCCCATGTGCCACAGATCTACTTCATCTGGGTGACGCGCACGCAGCGGCAGTTTGAGTGGCTGGCAGACATCATTCGCGAGGTGGAGGAGGCGGACAGGAATGACTTGGTCTCCGTGCACATCTACATCACACAGCTGGCTGAGAAGTTTGACCTGCGCACCACCATGCTGGTGAGCCTGGCCACCCACCGGGGAGGAAGCCATGCTGTGGTGGGCCATGCTGGGCCATCTGATGTGCACTGATCTCTCTTCCAGTACATCTGTGAGAGGCACTTCCAGAAGGTGCTGAACAAGAGCCTGTTCACGGGGCTGCGCTCCATCACCCATTTTGGGCGCCCTCCCTTCGTACCGTTCTTCAGCTCGCTGCAGGAGGTGCACCCCGAGGTCAGTGCCTGGCTGGGGATGGGAGGGAGGCACCCAATCTCCAGTGTGGAGGACTGGTCCCAGCCTGTCCCTAAGGTCTTGAAGACCTTGGTGACACCCGCAGCAAGGCGAGGGCAGAAGGAACATGAACCCCAATTTCCCTCTGGAGCCCAGATGAGGGTCACCAGTGCCCCATACCAGCCAAATCCCCCCTCCTCCCCCACTACAGTGAGATTCTGCCTGCAGCCGCTGCCAAGATCTGGCAAAAACCTTCCTCCATGGACCCAAGTGGGTCCAAAGGGAGGTGACTGCCTCCCCAAAAGGCTCCTCAGGCTGGGACAAACTGCTCGGCTGGTGTCTGTGCCCAAAGCTGCCGGAGGGCAAGGGGTCAAAAGTGGGCTGGGCTGAGAGGAGAGCTGTGGTGCTGGGCTTGACCCTTTTGTCTCCCTCCTTCCCCAGGTGAAGAAGATCGGGGTATTCAGCTGTGGCCCACCGGGGATGACAAAGAACGTGGAAAAGGCTTGTCGGCAGCTGAATAAGAAGGACCAGACCTACTTTGCACATCACTACGAGAATTTCTGACCCTACCCCAGGCCATTTCTCCCCCCCCTCAAATGTCTTCATGTGTGTTCAACCCCAGAACCCATGCAGCGATGCTTCGGGTGGTCATGGCCCCGGGCTCCCACCCACCACCACCCCCAGGAGAAAACCATCCGTGGCCAAGAGCATGGATGCCGAGACTCACAGAGCTGAGACCAGCATGCAGGGCACCAGTAAAATGTTGCCATCCCAGCATCACACCACACAGCCCCGGTGTTAGGCCCTGAGCCCCAAGCATCCTGCTGCCATCCACGCACTCCTGCAGCCCCGCACCCAGCATCGAGCTGGAGTGTCCCAGTCCAGAACACCCAGCATTAAGGTCAAGCTGGGCTCTGCCACCTTAATTCCACGAGACAGAGCCCATCTGCTCCTTGGTCAGACGGGGAATGAGTCTGAAGAGCTTTGGGGAACAGCTTGGTGCCTCTGCACAGCCTGAATTCACAGCACTGTCCCAGGACTGGGGCAGGATGCACATGGGGTGAGGAGCCAGAGCTCTCCCATCCCTCTCCTCGCACTGGGCTCAGGTCTCCTAATGCACTCCTTAGTGCTTGGAGCCTTCCTTGGGTTTGCATAGGTCATGTTTGTCTTGGCTTCTTTCAGCAGCATCACCATCCTTTGATCAGGGATTATTTGTGCTTGTTCAACTAATGCCTGGCTTTGCATTGCTGGGCTGCCGTCCTGGCCGGCTGCGATTGAGCTGTAATAAAGCTGACTGACGTTTTAAATCATTTTATTGCCTTCTGTGGTTGGGTCTTGATCACCTGGAGACTTGCAACACTTGTGGCGTAGTGCTGGCCTTGCTCCTCTTACAGAGTATTAGCTACAGCCCACTGGGAAAGTTATAGAATGGTTTGGTTTGGAAGGGACCTTAAAGCCCACCCAGTGCCACCCCCTGCCCTGGGCAGGGACACCTCCCACCAGACCAGGTTGCTCCAAGCCCCCTATCGAGCTGGAGTGTCCCAGTCCAGAACACCCAGCATTAAGGTCAAGCTGGGCTCTGCCACCTTAATTCCACGAGACAGAGCCCATCTGCTCCTTGGTCAGACGGGGAATGAGTCTGAAGAGCTTTGGGGAACAGCTTGGTGCCTCTGCACAGCCTGAATTCACAGCACTGTCCCAGGACTGGGGCAGGATGCACATGGGGTGAGGAGCCAGAGCTCTCCCATCCCTCTCCTCGCACTGGGCTCAGGTCTCCTAATGCACTCCTTAGTGCTTGGAGCCTTCCTTGGGTTTGCATAGGTCATGTTTGTCTTGGCTTCTTTCAGCAGCATCACCATCCTTTGATCAGGGATTATTTGTGCTTGTTCAACTAATGCCTGGCTTTGCATTGCTGGGCTGCCGTCCTGGCCGGCTGCGATTGAGCTGTAATAAAGCTGACTGACGTTTTAAATCATTTTATTGCCTTCTGTGGTTGGGTCTTGATCACCTGGAGACTTGCAACACTTGTGGCGTAGTGCTGGCCTTGCTCCTCTTACAGAGTATTAGCTACAGCCCACTGGGAAAGTTATGGAATGGTTTGGTTTGGAAGGGACCTTAAAGCCCACCCAGTGCCACCCCCTGCCCTGGGCAGGGACACCTCCCACCAGACCAGGTTGCTCCAAGCCCCCTCCAACCTGCCCTTGAACCCCTCCAGGGATGGGGCAGCCACAGCTTCTCTGGGCAACCTGGGCCAGGCTCTCACCACCCTCACAGCAAAGAACTTCTTCCCCACAGCTCATCTCCTTCTCCCCTCTTTCAGGGTCAAACCCTTCCCCCTCCTCCTAGGGCTCCCCTCCCTGATCCAGAGTCCCTCCCCAGCTTTCCTGGAACCCCTTGAGGGACTGGAAGGGGCTCCAAGGTCTCCCCGGAGCCTTCTCTTCTCCAGGCTGAACCCCCCCAACTCTCTCAGCCCCCCCCTCCAGCCCCCTGATGATCTTCATGGCCTTCGCTAGCTCCACTCCAACAGGCCCGTGTCCTTCACGTTGGGGCTCCAGAGCTGGCAGCAGTCCTCCAGGTGGGATCTCACCAGAGAGGCAGAATCCCCTCCCTCGAGCTGCTTCTTTTGATGCAGCCCAGTTTAAACAGGAGGAAGTGTCCCCTGTACTGGTGGTGTATAGGGCATGAGGTGGGGTGGGATACAGACTCCAGCCTTAGACTGTGTCCTACCAGACTCGGCACCCCCAGCAATGCCCCCGTGGTGGCAATGCCCCACAGCAAGACCTGGTGTGGGAGTAAATTACAGCCGAGGAGCCCAAAGAGGCCGAGCCTCGGAACAGCTTCAGCCCTTGGGGCGTTAAACAGCCACCCAAGACCACGACGAGCATCTCGACATTTCTCGGTAGTTAAGGGGGTCTGTGATGGCCAGCGGCTCCCCAGCCATGCCACTGGGGCTGCACAGTCCTGGCACCCCCAGCATGGGGGCTGGGGTCCAGGAGAGACCCATGGCTGAGCAAGAAGCCCCAGCTCCCACCCACTGCCAAAGTTGGGCAGGCTCCCCCTGCCCAGACAGTGCACCCTTCAGCAAGGTGCATTTTGGCAGTTCTTGGAGAGGCTCTGCTAACACCACAGCCAACGATGGGGCTGGGCTCCTGGGTCGGTTTTACATGCTCAGGCTGACACATCTTTAGGTTTTATGACCCTGTTTCCGCTGAGCAGTGCTCTGACCGCTTCTCTCTGGCTACAGGAAGTTGTCCTGGGTTATGTCTTAGTCCTGTTAAAACACATCATCGACTCACAGGCTTCCACCTCTGCCAAGACCAACTGATCCATCTCCACCATAAAGACTAGCTTTGATTTGCAAGTGGTTGGGTCATTGAAGGTTTCATGGTCCTGCCTGCACCGAGCTCTCCTCCAGCCTGGTGACACCCTAGAGCATGGTCCCCAGGACCCAAAGTCACAGACCCCTTCAAACCAGACACCCAAGGCTTCAAATGGACACAGACACAACAGGTAGGTACCATTTATTGAGGAAAGTTCAGTACCGGCCCAAGAAAGGAACTGATGAACAGTATGAAAATTAACATGACTGCAATCAAAGATAAGATTATCTGCTACCCACTCCCTCGTTAGTACCTCATTCATGGCTCACAAACTCAGCAGGAAGGCCTGAGATCCTCAGAAAGTTATGACTCACAGTGGTAAAACCTTTGAACGATGCTGTCCCCTTACTTCTCACCCATGCTCCCCTCCATGCAAAAAGCAAGCTGTGCCCCCCAACAGCAGCCCCTCCTTGGGGCCCTCTGGGGTCCCAGCCAGGGACAGAGCAGTTTCCCCACAAACACACTGCAGCCTGCTCTGCAGTGGTCCTTCTGCCCCACGGGGAGCTGCTGGGGTGGGATGACACAGCAGACGTGGTCCCAGCCAGCCTCCAGACCAGCTTCTTCAAAAAAGCCCTGGGATCTGAGCTTTGTGCCCATGGTTTGCAAAGAGCATGGAATGATGTGGATGTGCAGATGCTCCCCGTAGAGGTGAGCTGGCCAGGCTTTGTTCCACTGGCTGTCGCAGTCCCTGAGCGTCCCCAGGGAGGTGCGACTGGACGGCAGAGCACTCACACAGAGCCATCCCGCCAGGATTGCCAGGCAGAAAGAGCTGCAGCAAGGACAGCCCCAGGGCAGTGCTGGGGTGGGCAGATGGAACACCAGCATCTCCATCCTCGCTTCACCCACGTGGCTGGTGACACTCTCACCCAGCACGTTCATGGGGACAAACCCTGTGGCCATGCAGGCGGCCAATTCATGCAGAGAGACCCAGGCTCTTCTGCACGTGGGGTCTGGCGGCGAAGAGCCAACTGTGTGAATAATCATCTCTAACCAAACAGCAGCTTAGAATGTGTCTAACCAAACAACAACCAAATAAGTTTTGATTCAAGCTATTCCCTATTGTTCTCCGTTTGTAGTAACCTGTTAATACTCTAATGGTGCCATTGACCCTCATTAACGTTTGATTTTCCAACTAAATTACAAAGCAGTGCCTGTATAAGGTGCAACAGCCACACATCAGCCTCCCATGGCCTCATGCTTTGCATCTCAGGCAGGTGCTATGACGGGGGAGAGGGCCAGGCATGACAGCATCTCAGGGGCTGTGGTCGGTGGGGTCACACTTCAGCATCACTTTCACCCCCTCACCCCTCTTGGTGGTCTCGAACGCCTCCAGAGCCTTTTCCAGGGGGAAGCGGTGGGTAACCAAGGGCTTGACATTGATCCTCTTGGATGCGAGCAGAGCAATTGCCACAGGCCACCTGCAAGGCAAGCAGAGAGCAGATGAGAGCAGCCACCAGTTTGGAGCCCCAAGGGAGGACCACAGAGGGAGCCACCTGGTTTCCTTACAGTAACTTCCTTAGCCCAGGGGAGTTTGGCCCACAAACAATCTTCTGGAGGGGGAACCTCAGGCATCAGGCATGGGAGAGAGGACAACCCAACTGCTTTGGGCTGTTGAGCACTGAGAAGTCTGCTGTACGCAGACAGTCGGCTGTGCTTCACCCACAAGAGGCTGAGTAAGTGAAAATCCCAGCAAACACCTGTACTTCTGAAGCACCGAATGATAAACAAAACCACTGTGCACCACTCTCCTTGCAAGCCTCCTCACCTGCACTGTAGAGTGTAGATCACTGTAGAGTTCAAACTCACCGACCCAGTGCAGGGAGAAGAAAGGAGAAGCCTCAGTCAGCTTCCAACCTCTGCTTTGGCAGAGATTCCTGAATCTCATTGCCTTGTCATCCATTTCAAGGGGCCAAACTAGAGGAATGGGGACACACAGGGATGCAGCAGCTAATCCAACTCCCAAACTGCCTACTTAAAGACACTTCTCCTTTGAAGAAGCCTGACCACACCTCATAAATCCTTCCCAGAAACCACCCCTGCAGACTAAGCAAAGGTTCTTGCTCCACTAGCAAGAAACTAGAGCTCTGAAGAGAGCAGAAACCAGGCTGCAAACATGCAATGCTGGGTCTCAGGCACTACCCAAGGAGTTAAGATCGAAGAGAGGACAGCTGAGCTTCTCCTGCTTCCAGGACAAGGCCACCTTTCACTCAAAGACCTGCCTGTCCACGAGCTATGCAGTTCAGTCCTCTGTAAGCACATACGCCTTCAGACTGGCTCCAGATGTATCTCCAGCTCCAGAAAAGTGATGAAAATTAAACAAGGCTCTTGCTCATCCCAGCATTCGCTGATCCCCAACAAGATTGATGATGTGGTTTCCTTCCATGAGGAGCAAGGAGAGCAGAGCTGGGCACCAGCAGCACATCTGGATACGCTTGGCCTGGCATCAGATGCAGCACTTGGGATTTTGACTCCGCCCAGAACTAAGACTCCCCATATCCTTTCCTCAAAAATGGACAATACAGCAGTTAGGAAGGTGGGGGCAGCAGGCAGGCAGCTTTCCACAAAGCAGCGTGTAGGGCCAGGGCCAGGACCAGGCCAAGCAGCTGCTCAGAGGTCTCCCAGCACAAAAGGCTGAAGCAGCTAAAAGCTGTGTGTTCTCCCTGCCATGCCATGAGCCTCCTACCACACCATACCTCTTCCAAAACACCTCCAGCACATGGCCTTCCCTTTCTACAGGGCATAAGAGTTAAAGGCACAAATGTTATGATTTTTTTTTGTTTTATTTTAGCCTGCTTGCTTGCAGCAGAGTAAGGGTTTGTTGGGTTTCTTCCTTTCTTTGCACCAAATGCTGCATGAAATGGGAGAGTGGGACAACCCAGCTGGGCTGGGCTGCTTTGCTGTGGTCATATTTGCAGTGCTGGGCTCATCCAGGAACCAAGGCCTAAAATGCAGGACACATCAGTCAGACAGTCTGCCCCGCAGTGCTGGCACGTCAGAATGCCTAGAGGTTTAACCAACTGTAAGGAAAAACAGCCTTTTCCACGTCCCGTCTCCTTGTGGAAAGCAAGAATTTTGTAAGGACAGACTTGGAGAAACATCAGGCCACACTGCAGAATACTCACGTGTTGCAGTAGCGGAATATCCCCCGGATATCCACTTCCCGCACGGCAGCGTTCACAATGGGCACAGTCACCATCTCAGGCCCCAGCCCCACCAGCACCAAGGTCCCACCAGAACGAGTGGCCTGGAGAACAAACACACTAATATGTTATATTTGGCAAAATACTGTCACCAGAGCCTGTGCAACAATCAAAGCCAGACTTTGCAGCTGTAATGGACTGCCTGGGGCACAGCACAGAAGCCAGGGGTGACACAGGATGCTGTCTGGAGCCCGTAAGTGTGAAACACTCAATAAACAAGGCTTAAAAAGGAATCTCTCAAAAACCTCTGACGGATTTTGGTATCTAAATCTCATTCTGAAAAATTACTAGCACCTAGGAGTATGGCACTTAGGAGTATTGGATTTCAATGGGAGATATTTAAAACTAAGAGCCTGAAGCTCCACTGGAATTTCTCTTTTTTGCAGCTTGTCCCATTTATCTCCCGTCCTTTCATTGTGAAACTCGGCACTACCTTTTCTGCATCCACCCATTAGGAAGTTCATGGCTGCAAAACATACCCTCCTTAACTGCTTTCGTCACCTGCTGGAATTAAATGTTCGTAATTATTCTCCTTGTTTGAACATAACTTCACCTCAATGGAAGATGCTGTCCTACTTGTACCAGCTTCCTGGCACTCCTGCGTAGCCATGCTTGGGTTTTGGGTCTTACTGCAGTCTCTTTGGGAAGTGGTAAAGCATCAAATCAGGCAACTATCCCCATGCTGCCTGCAAAGACGTTAACTCTTTAATTATCTTAGTTTGTTGTCTAACAAGCACCTCCTCTCCCTCACCAAGGGAGACCAAGACCACTGGAATAAAGCACAATGGCAGCGAAATAACTGTCATTCCCTGCGGTGTCCCATAGAGCCAGTTGCCATCCCTGCTTTAGCCTGGGGACGAGTGGTACTCACATAGATGCCAGCCTGGATGCAGGCCTGCACTCCTGTACACTCCACCGTTATCTCAGGCATGCAGCCAAGCAGGCTTTCCACTTTGGAGGCCACCTCCTGCGGGGTCTCATTCTTCACCTGAATGGTGAAATCCGCCCCCACCTCCTTGGCTTTTTGCAGGCGAGAGGCCGATATATCTGGGGAAAGACAAAACAGGTCAAGAATTGCAGCGTAATGTGAAGCAGAAGGGGAGAGAGAACCTGAGCCTGCAATCTGCTTCCTACCCCTTCTGATGTCTCAACATAGCTACAGTGTTCGGTGACCAGCTGTCAGCTCTGCCAGGAGAGAAGACAGAATTTGTTATGTGGTAGGACAAGGTGGGAAACTGCAGTAGTTTCTCAAGAATTTATGTAGACCACCCAGACCAAAGGGCTTCCCAGCCTTGATGCAAGCAGGCCACCATCAAGGAGCCCTGATGGAAGCAGACATGTCTGGGGTCTGAACACGTGTTCCCTTCCTCAAATCCAGGAAGCCTTCAGTGAGGAGGAAAGGTGGAGAGATCTGCTCCCTTTTCTGGGCAGGCAAAGAAGGATGAGCGATGAGGACAACTTACAGACACAGGAGATACCAAAGGCTTTCCAGCCGCAGAAGAAGGTGTGTTTTAAAGAGGCTGAAGCATGAACTCACAGCTGAAATCCACACCGTGCAAAGCGATGTCTGAGTGAAGGAAGAGCTGCCACCTCTAGTCTCAAGGGGTGTCTTTTAAGACTATCAGTTAGTAGATCTCCTGATTTCTCTTTGGTACTGCAAGAACACCAAGAGTGTGCCAAGACAAACTAGAAGGCTATGCTTAACTCCAAAGGCCACGCACACTCATGCCACAAGCAGAAACCACAGGAGGAACAGCCATGGCCAAGCACTGGTGGAACCTCACTGCAGGGAAAGGCAAAACGCAGGAGGGCAGAACAGACAGGGCAGCACTGAGCTACACTCGCCCTGTTTGAACAGCGTGGTTGTGTCTTACCAAAGCTGCCACTGTCTAAGACCACACTGCCCAGTGTCTCTGGCAATCACTCTTTCATGAAACAGCTTCACTAACTCATCCACTACTGCAAATGGACGGTAAAAAACCATGTTATACACACACTCAGCAAGTTAAACTTGGGAGAAGCCTACGAGGCAAAAAAACGCCCACTACTTTTGCATCTTCCTTCTCTGGCTCTCAAGAATATTCGCTGTTGCTCACACCCTCAAGGATACCTCACAAAGGGCACTAAGCAGAGACAAGGTTGCTCTGACCTTGCTCCCTGATGATGACCCAGAAATGACCTGGCTATGGACAGCACAGCACCGAGAAGCCTTTCTGACAGGAAACATCAGGCTCAGAGGATCGTTAACACGGCCATTTCACTTCTAGAGGTACCAGGTGAGAGCAGGTCATGAGCTCTCTGAGGGCCTCCTCAGTGATCCACCAGCAGATCCTTCAGCTGAGCAAACTGCAGGATGCACTAAGTGTGTCCCTGCTGTTACAGACCTTTGCCATCCTTTTACCCTCTTTGTAACAGCACTGGAGGCTGCTGAGATCTCTCAAGCAGTTTCTGCTACAGACAAACGAGCAGGCAAGGCCACTTAAAAAAAAGGGCGTGGATCTGGTAATATGGTGGAGACCTCAGATACCCCATTAACACAGAGCACCAAAGCTGGTGATGATAAATGTCTGCAAGGGCATGGCTGTACTCTGGTACTCTGTCGAGAAGGATCTTGACAGCAAGGTCAATATCTTCTCATAGAATCATACAATGGTCAGAGTTGGAATGGACCTTAAAGACCATCCAGTTCCAACCCCCCGCCCTGGGCAGGGACACCTCCCACTAGACCAGGTTGCTCCAAGCCCCATCCACCCTGGCCATTTGAAGATCCACAAAATGGTCTATATCACGGAGCGAGCTGCCCTGGCAGGTAGACACACTGTTTGTCTCTTCCACATCCCATGGAAGGAAGCCACTCATCCCTCTCCAGGTACCACTGGTGACCAGGATATGCCCAGAGATAAGGAGGTGGACAGCAGACAAGAAGAGTGGCATTTCCCAGGCAGAAACAACCTCTTTGCCTTGAGCAGTGGTCTACAGGGGCCTTTGTGTTAGCACTGGAAAAGATGTCCGGATCAAAGGTGGAAACTAGCCAGAGAGTTGCTAGACCCAAAACTGATGGGTAAGCAATGTCCTAGGCTTGAAGACTCGGAAAATGATGCCTTTGCCAGGGGCACACTCCTCCCCAGGACGCACAGCGCACCACCACAAAGAGGAAAATACCCTTCTCGCCAGGGTGCAGTCTTCAGAGAAGTCAGAAATGGGGGTGGGAGGAAAATATCAAGGGAAAAGAGGAGGATGAGGCCACTGCTCCAACATGAGCTGCTCTGACTCAGCCCCAGCGCTGGGAGGAAGCCAGGCCAGAGGACGTACCCTGCCCACCACGGTGAGTGTGAGGTTACTGACAGCCAGGGCAGGCCATGGCCATGCCCACGCTGGCTGCGGCAGCACTCGTGGTGCTGGGGGTGGGCACACCCACCAAGACAAGCACCCAGGAGACCTGTGGAGGGAGTTTCAAGAAAGGGTAATAAAGGGTAATAAAATGCAGACAAAGGAGGAAAAGCCAAGGCTGGAAACTCTGGGCAGCACCACCTTGGAAGCCTCAACGTGGCTCTCATTCCTGGGGCTGCAGGAGGCATTAGTCACGTCTGTCCCTCCCAGGCTGTGAGTACTGGGCCTCAGGACACATGTACAGCCATGACCCTCTGCCAGCCACTCACAGACCTCTCGCATGCTTTCGGGGCACTCGAAGTGCTAAGAAACACTTCTGCCTGGCATGGCTGGTGTCTCCCAAATCCCAGTGTACAGCAAGGAGACCACAGGGGGCTCAACAGTGCTCCCAGCTCTCAAAACACCAGTTTGCAGCAGACACAGCTGGATTCAGCCATTTAGAGAATCTGCCCAGTCACTAATTTATTTTATACTGTCTCTTTGGCAGAAATACATCCAGAGGCAGAGTCCTGGAGCAACAGGCACGGCCAGCCAGTGCCTTTCAAAGCAGCCACAAAAGCCATTTCTCTGGCAGCAAATAAGCCCCCTCGCTTTTCCCATAGTTGGTCTCTGTTTTGCTGACCTGCTCGGGAAGGAAGTCCTCATGTCAGAGAGGAATACAGGGCCCAGCAACAATACTGTCAGACCCGGTCGGGGCTGCGGTAACATCTCGGTAAACCTGGCCTAAGTTAACCACCACTAAGCGCGTACTGAAGCTGACAAATATACAGGTTATCAAATGATAAGGTTATCACATTGTTCAGAGCTCCAGACACATGTGAGTCTTGAAAAGAACCAAGGCATTCAGATTTTAAACTTTACTGTGGCGGAACCCCACACAACTCTTGGGAAAGTGGTCAATTATCCAATTAAAGGGTTGTATCTTGCTTCTAGTTTGCTCTCACTTCCTGGCAGCTGGAGCTAATTAAAGTTTCGGCTGCAGGATTAAAAGTAGCCCGCTCTTGTATCTCTGCTCCCACGGAAGTTATCAAATTACACTTATGCTGCTCATGATGGTTTATGAGCCAACTAAACATGCATATATTCTTGAAGCTCTCACACTTTCTGTGTTGATCTTCAACTGAAAGGAGTTGAACTCTGTCCAATTATTCATCTTCCTTGACCTTGACTTCCAGGGTTTCTGGAGGCACTGGCACCCAGGACTTCAGATTTAGATAGCACGAGGGGAACAGTTTCCCTTAAGTCGGAATTACTAAGTGTACCTTTAGTGACAGATAGAGTAAGGCAAGACAGCCTAACACCGCCATACAAACACCCAACGCTTCGCTTCACTTGCTGGGGAATAAGGCTTTTACGTGTCTCTAAGGAGAAAAGCAACTTTCCAGAGCAACAGCAACGTCCACAGCAAGGCAGAAGGCCAGGAGAAGGCTGCCCATAAATATCGATCACACCCACTTGGCAGCAGAACAGAGAAAGCCACAGACCTTAGGGAAGAGAAGATGAGGACCCATGAAGCAAACCGATCTCCTGCACCCAACTGCAGTCCATTAAACACATCAAACCCTGTCTCTGAAAAGGGAGAACACCAGTCTGCCAGGAATAAAGCACTTCAAGGAGAAGAGCAAAGGTTATCAGAAACACTAATACCTTTTATCAGGCAAGCTACCTTATCTAGGGGAAAAGGCAAGCTTTGGCATACACAGACCTTTGGAAGGGTAGGGCTGAGCGTTTGTCTTTAGCTACAGTGCCAGCTACTCTCTGGGAGTCCCAGAGAAGGGACCCGGCCCCTCAGTAGAGATGTAACTTTCTAAAATTCATGGACTCCAGGTGTGCCAAAGACACTCACTGCAGAAGCTGTAAGAGGTGAGTTTTCCCCAAGTCATGAAAAAGCTCTTCTAGCTATTTCTGTATTTGTGTGCGGCTTGTCAAAACAAACACAAACATTTAAAGCCCTAAATGCTGTTGCAGACAAGCTCTTCACAGAGAAACACATCATAAAAACTACTGGCAATGAATTCAAAGAATCTGGTAGCACAGTACAAGAGGGCCTTTGTGGGCAGACAGTCACCTTGCAGGTGTTGGCTCCTAAAGCCAACATAAAAAGCAGTTCCTTGAGAAGGGCAGCAAAATCCCCAGTGGCAATGAGCCAAACTAAACCCATTCTTCAGCTCCTGTCATGTACAAATATTTGACTGGGGACAGCACCTCCATGGGTGTCTCTGAGCATCTCAGTCAAACACCTCTCAGGTGGAAGATATCAACAAGTCAGGATCGCTACCTAGGCCAAGATGCAAAGATAAGAAGGGGTTAATTCCATGTAGCCAAGTTTGCTGACCCTACAAACCAGGTTTTGAGATCTTCCTATGGCCACCTGTAGCCTGTGGCACATGCTATACAGACCTGCTTGCCAAAGATCCCCAGGAGGCAGAGACAACTGCAGCTCCCACTGTTACGGTGAAGAACACACTCGGGCAGGACCAGTGATGGGGCCATGGGCTGAACCACCTGCCTCAGCCCCACCAACCCCTGCCAGCTCACCAAGCCCTTCCCCGCCCAAGGACTGGGTCACCCTCCAGCCCCTGCACCAGTTCAGCTCAGAAGCAAGGTTCCTCATACGTAATTCAAGAGGCAGGGCTGCTTTTCCTGCTATAGCAACCAACATCCACAAATGACAACACTTTGCAAAATCTGAGGCCTGGACTGATCACATCCACCAAGGACGCGCCTGCAGGGTGGGGCCAGCAGAGCAAAAAAAGGCCCCAGACTTGGCAGCAAGAGGATTTAGGAAGGAGAAGGCACTAATCTGCCTTAGGTTTTGTCATGAGCTACCACAGAAGGATGCTTGCGCGAAGGCAAGAGGGTGGGGCCTGGATTTTGTCTCTCAATCCAAAGACAGAAACACAGTAATTGAGAGGTCAAAAATGCACCCAGCCCGCAGTGTGGGAGGTGGAGTAACAGCCTTCTGAGAGGCCTGTGTGGGGGCTTTGGCCCAAAAACACTGCAGCAACCTGTGCTTGTTGTCTAGTCTTACCTGTAACCGCTCCTCCCAGCCACTGCTGCTCAGAAGGATCAAAGAGTAGTGGAAAGACCACTGTCCTGTCCAAACCCCAGGTGGAAATTTCAACCAGGGAACCTCCTGAGGCTACTCCAGCTCTCGATTCTCCTGGGCAAGCTACAGAGAAGCACCTGAACTTGGAGGCGAGGTGAAGGGAGCTGGGCTGGGGTAGCAGGACAAAGAGAAGGGGGGATTGAACATCTCTCTGCAACAACCAGAAGGGCAGCTGCAAAGATGATGGAGACTCATCATTTCAGTTGTTGCAGACAATACAAGGGGAAGTACCTACAAATGACAGTTTGTGAGTCGACCCCAGAAAAAGCCTCTTTGTTAAGAGGTGGTGCAATCCTGGAGGAGGTACCCAGAAAGGTGGGATGTCCACCCTCAGCTGTTTCCCAGGCCCAGCTAGTCAAAAACACGGCTGCAAGCAGCAGTGGACTAGAAACCTCCAGGACACAGTTATGGAAGGAAGGCCCATTTCTGAAAAGCAGGGACCCTGAAAAGGCCATTTCAGTCGTCGCAGATAATCAGTGGAAAATAAACCCCCCAGCAGGACAGCAGAAAGAAAGGGCAGCAAAAGAGAACTAGAGAGCCCTTTCTGCACACAGAAAGGACTGTGAAAACACGTGTCCAGGCCATCACCTAGCGCTATAAGAGGAAGGGAAAACCTGCTCAGAGAAAACCTCCAAACACGGTGTAAAATACGCTGTGTGCCTAGGTGAAGACTAGAAGCAGATATAATCAAGGTCTATCTGCCCTACAGGGAAGACGAAACCAGATCTTCAAGGCTCGATCTACGAGCCAAAGGCAAAGCATAAAGTTGAGGTCAGAAAAGCTCAAAACGGAAAAAAAAAAAAAAAAAAAGGGTCTGTCAGTGTTCAGAGACACCGGAAGCAAGCAGAGCTTTTGTAACTTGGGGCTTTGTCATACAGACATAAAAAAAAAAAAAAAAAAAAAAAGGGTCTGCCAGTGTTCAGAGACACCAGAAGCAAGCAGAGCTTTTGTAACTTAGGGCTTTGTCATACAGACACATTCCCTCTTCCCAAAAGACCGGCTCAAAGTCTGAGAAAGGTCTTGACCCAAGGACCACTCATTAGCCTCTGCTTTTTTCTCCTTGAAGCACTGTAGCTACGCCACCTGCACAACACGTCTGTGCCAGGAAGCAGACGTTGTTACCCTACTCTACCAACCCAGCAGAGAAGCACCAGTTGCAACCGGCACCTTCTTACAGATCCCAATTAGTGCAAAGATCAAAGTCTTGTCCTGGGGAGCTTATTAGGATTCCCTCCAGACAGACACACTACTACTCCATTCATGAACAGACCTTCCATTGTGCTTGGGCTGCTTTCCCCAGCAGTAACCTTGAAGGAATAACGGGCAACTAGTCAAAGTGACGTACTGTAGGAAACAGGCACACTCTTAAGGGTTAAAAGGACCTACCTGTAATTACCACTGCCGCTGCACCCATCATCTTAGCAACAAGCAGATTCACAAGGCCAATTGGTCCTGGGTACAAAGGGGAGAGAGAACACACAAAACTGTCAAAGACATCAGACATGGGCTCTGAACGGGCCCAGGGCTCAGCACGTTCCCAGGCTAAAGGAGGCTCTGACTGCACTTCCAGGTGGGCAGCTGTGGGATCTCAGCATCACCGCGATCCCACGGCAGCCAGACCAGCTGCTGAGAGAACAGCTACTGCTACATGAGGGACCCGCTCCTCCCTCCCTGGAGCTTGGAATGCCCACGCACTGCACTTTGCATTTGGGCAGCTCAAAATTCAGCACCCTAGTGCAGCGTGGGCAAGGGCAGCCTCAAGGTCCCCCTCGACTTCACTATAACTCTGTCATGACCCACAGCTTACAGCAGAGCCTAGACACACAGCTTGCACCCCATCCATTCCCCTCCATGCCCCAGCAGACAGAGAACCCCAGGACTGGTTAAGTTTACTGTACCAGAGCCAGACACGAAGACTTTGCTTCCCAGAGTGACTCCTGCCCTTTTGCAGGCGTGGATTCCCACAGAAAGGGGCTCGATAAGGGCTCCTTCTTCAAAGGTGACATTATCTGGAAGCCTGCAAGAACCAGACACAAGCAACAGTCACCAAAGAGGTTGATGGCAATGATGAGGAAAGCCATGACACTCGAGGACCAAACGTGGTTCTAAATCCCAGTGGCAAAATACACTCTCACCCTTGGTCCGAGAAACCCAGGGCTGGAAGCCATTCCAAGAGGTTATATTGCCTCCTTCCCTCCTCTGAAGCAGCATTAAGTACACCTAAACCATTTACCAGTAAGGTTTGCCTAAGCACCAAACACAGGGATCCACAAGCTTCCCTACACCATCTCCCCGGTACTTGGTGAGTCAACTCTTTTGCTGCTCATTCCCTTTGGGATAAACCCCACAGTTGTGTGTGCATCTCCTCAAAGGCTGCTCTATGGCTGGGACACATCAGTGGGCTCCCACACCCCTCATCTGGGTGGGGGAAAAAGCAGAGGGGGGTGAAACCCTTCTGAACTACTGACAGAAATAAATCCCAGCTTCACAATGCATCCTGCCAGAAAGCCACCAGCGTGGGCTCTCGCACAGTGGGTGCTATGTCTGTGAGGAAAGCAGGACAGCCCTGGGAAGCCTGAGGTCAGATCCCATCCAAGCCAGCCCAAAGCCAGAGTGATGGAAATGTCAGTTGTGGAAAGGCAGCTCTAAGATATCTGTATGTCCCTTGTCTCCAGGAGGCACTGAAGGGCTGACTCCAAGAGTTCCATCGCGTGAGAGTTTGGCATCACATCTGCTCTCCTGGGCCGGGGAGGGCAGCTTTGTGGCACCATCCCATCTCCATCAAATTACTCAGAGCACCCAACACAGAGTCTCTCTGCCTCCAGGAGAGACAACAGCTGCCCAAGTATGTAAGAGCTCACTGAGCTCAGCCATCACCTTTTCTTGGCAGATCTGTGCTGGCAGAGCAACTTCATGTCACAGAATCTGCTCTGCATCAGACAGCCACAGCATTGCTGATCTGAAACGGGGAGTACTAGATCCAGGCTTTGCAATACACAGGTTAAAAAAAATCCCCCAAAATAGCCAAAGTAATATTTACTCAAATTGGAGAAAAAAGCAAAGCCCTAGAAGACAGCTACGAATCAGCCACTTCCTCCCAAGCCTGTGATGTTGTCAGAAAGTGTTATTTTAACACACAGGAAATCAGTGACAGCGGATCTGGACAGTAAGAAGTTAGACCCATCCAGACCAGCATCTCATCCTGACAGCAGCTGCTTGGAATCCACTTTGAAAGGAGCTTCCTGCTTGAGGACTCTCATGAGAAGAGCATTCAAGTGTCTCGTTCCAACTGATTTGATCCTGAATGTGTCCTCTGCGGGCACCAAAGATCAATCCCAAGGACATTCCTGCTCATGGAAGTACCAGCTCCACACAGACAGAGAAAAAACAAGCTGCACAGGGAAACCAGTCTGAGGGGACCACAACCTTAGACTATCTTTAACTCCTTGTGTAAATACACTTAAGTGGGTATAATGTTGCAGAGGCTTATTTGGGTTTCTAGCATATTTGCCAGCATACTTAAGCACAGAGTTGCTTTTAAGCAAATGTGTCAGTCCTGCCACATACTCAAGATTGCTGAACTGGATATGAAAACAGATGTGTAATCCTGGCAGCTCAGTGGGGCCACTCAGCGCCACACAAACAAGCACCTTAGCAGGGACTCCTTTCCGTTCCTGCTCTGCTCTAAGTAGGATGACTTTGTTTCAAATGGCAGAGCGAGGTGTCAGCAGTCAATGCAGTGCTTCCTGAAAAGCAGCAGCAAAGCTAGCTCAGCTCAAAGAATAAGACAAAGACCTACAGGCACCATCCTAAGGAGGCAATGATATAAAAAGATGGCAGAAAAGAAGCTGGGAGCAAATGGGAAAAGGAAAATAGTGAAAGGGTAGAACAGTGTTGACATCCCAGGAAACTGTTATCCAAGCCTTATACGTGTTATTTATGGATCAGAAAGCATTAAAACCTGTTCACGTAAAGAGTGCTCACTGAGATCCCCAAAAGGGCCAAGAGGCAATTTCTTCAGCTAACTTCCCACCCCGGGAGTGTGCATTTCTCTGCAGAGGGAGCACCAACTCACTTGTAGCAGTAGCTGGCACTGTGCTTGTAGTAGCGGCACAAGTTCCCATCATCAGGAGGAGTGGCGCAGAAGAAGATGGTTGGAGACAGGTTATAGCGGCCAGTTTTGCAGAACTCATCCATTTCCCTTGGCACACCAGGCTCAATGGCCACTCGATCACCTGCCAGGATGAAAGCAGACTGTTACCCATGAAGAAGGTGGGCGCATAGGTACGAGTAGCACTGAACAACCACAGAAGACAGCATGAAACCCTGGCACGAGGGGCATCTGCTCACTGATCACGCTGCACGCACCAGGCAAGTTCCTAACACTTCCTTCATGGTGGCCTCATCACCAAAAGAAAGAGCCGGTGTTTCAAAGGCACAGACACAGAGCAGATGGAAGCTCAGCCACATACAAACTTCTCTCCAACCTGTCTTGAACTCAGCCTTAGCACATGAAAAGGCAGCCCTCACCCCAGGCAATCACACAGTGATCAGACTTTTTTTTCCAAATCTGTAGAGACTGTAAGAGGAAATAATTAGGAGAGAGCAGGTGAGCTCTGCTGGCCACCAGCTGGAAAGGACTGTCCCTTGGGAAGGGAGCTGACAGTGCAGAAGCACACCCAGGAGTGAGGCAGGACCTATAAGGGAACAGAGACATCTTCATGCTGAGATGGAGTAGCCCAGACTGCCGGAAGGACACATGCTGCAGGACAAAGAGTAATTATTTAACTGCAATCACAAGGCAGGATGGGCAAAGAAAATAACCGTGTGACCACAGTACAACTTGCCACACACAGGGACACAAGACACCTTTTTCTTTGGCAGAGGAAGGCAATTCAAGCCAAATGTCTCTGCAAAGCTCTCCACCAACAGGGTTTCAGCCAGACACAGTGACAAGCAGAAGAATGGATCGAAGTAAAGAGACATCTACACCCCTGTAATATGGCCAATAGAGGACATCTAGGGGTGAGAGGAGCAGGACAAGCACACACTGAATGTCCTCCCAGCCTCCCCTTATATTCAGCTGTGGGGTCTCCCAGGCTACACGTGGTTTCTTTGTGTTTCTTAACCCTCAACAATTTCTCCCCAACCTTCCACCATGTAAACTTTTAGCATCCACATCATCCTTTGCCAAGGAGGCCTGCAGGTCTGCTACACCTTAGGTGAACGCTGTACCTGGCTTCCACTGTCCCTTGCTCTTGTACCAGAGAACCAGGCAACCTTTATGTGCCCTCCATGAGTCTTCAGACCTGTGTCACACACCACTGAGGTGGGTAATAGCAGCACAGTGACATTCTGAAGGAGAAGGTCACACTGCGCAATCCACAGGTCAGAACATCAGATAAATTTACCTAACAAAAAAGTACAGCCTGTTATCAACATGTTCTCAGGAACTGATTAGCAGGAAAACAAATAAAAAGACAGTTTTGATTCCAGTTATTCGTCACAGAGATGCTGCCCCACATCATCTCCTTCTCCTCGTCTGAAAATCTTTCACTTATTTTATATCCCTTTGGAAACGAGGAGACCAGAACTGTGTGCAGAGCTCCAGAAGTGCAATGATGTCCTCTGATTAAGTCCCTGTCCCTTTCCTAACACTGATTTGCATTTTTCACCACTACTGAGCCAACTTTCCCACACATTGTGTCTGAGCCAAAGATCTCTCTTTAGCAATGATCAGCAGCCCGCCATTTTAGATATGAAGCTGGCTTTGTTTCTTCTGCTGTGGAAACCACTGTGCTTACGCACATGGAATTTCATCTGCATCTCATTGCCCAGCCACCCTTAAGGTTCTTTATGTAACTCTCGCTAGGTCTCCACCCTGCCTAAGTTGCTATCACCAGCAAACTTTGCAAAATTCAGCCCATTTTCTAGGACATTCATGAGCACAGTGAACTGTAGAGATCACACCATGGGGCCTGGTAGGGTTGCTCCAGTGACCTCTCTCCACTGCAGGAGGCCATTTGCTTCACACACAGTGAAGAAACATTAACAGCAGGTTGTCTACAAGAGCAACATACGTGGTTTCCGAAGCTTTATCTAGCTTCTTCAAAAAGCATCTTGTACTAGTGTAGACTCTGCATTAAAATAAAGCCCAGGAATATCCCAAGATAAAGCATACCTAAGAAATACCAAAAACTACAGCATCCAAGCTGGGTGATTAATAGCAGCACAGTGACACTCTGAAGGAGAAGGTCACACTGTGCAATCTGCAGATCAGAGCATCAGATAAACTCACCTAACAAAAAAGTACAGCCTGTTATCAACATGTTCTCAGGAACTGATTAGCAGGAAAACAAATAAAAAGACAGATTAATTCCAGTTACCTGGTTTCAGATGAGTGACTTCTGGTCCCACTTTGATAACAGTCCCGGAAGCTTCGTGCCCCAACACCATGGGGCTCTTTACAACAAAATCCCCGATTCGACCATTCTGCCAGTAGTGGACATCAGACCCGCAGATCCCAACAGAATGCATCCGCAGAAGGACCTCTGCCAGAAAAGCAAGAAAGCTTCCTTGTAGGAAAGCTCACCTTCTCGGGCACTGGGGAGCAACACGTATGCTGTCCCTGTGCCCCACAACAAAGGCCAAGCCAGCATCGAAACAGCTGAATTTACTAGCATTAAATAAATATACCAGAACTGCACACGCATGCATTAGGATGGATGGCATATTCATGAGACACCTGCTGAAATACAAAGCTACACAAGGATTTACAACTCAGGAAAGCTTAACATATGGTAAAACCCCTGTCAACAAAAGCTAATACAATCTAAAAGGGCCATGACTGTGACTGGAGCAAGGATAAAAAAGCAAGTCTATTTAATTTTTCCTTCTCCCTAAAGAGAATTTCAGCCGCGGAGAGTTAGTGAATCAAATTCCTATCAGCCCATATGCCCAGCCTATTAATATTGAGTCCTGCAATAAGATCATCTGACATGTCCCAAGAGCTGTTTAATGTGAAATACATGAACTGCTGAAACAGGAAGCAGAAAAAGCCAGACAAAGGGCTGTATTCGTTACTGCTCCAGCTCTTCTTTTCAAGTGGAAATGCAGCATTATCTGTTTCAACCACACATTCTTTTTTGGATTATTTTATACTTTCTCAGAAATATTTTATCTCTTTATAATATCAAGGAGCGACAAAAGAGAATGAGAAAAGAAAGAGATTAGTAAAGAAAGCAGATGGAAGCAGCCATCTCTAGACCTACCATTGGGACCCGGTTCTGGGATCGGACGGTTTTCCTAGAAAGAAAAATAAAAACATTCAGCTGCTTGTGCATAGCCATGGGAATACCTCCTGGAGAGGTGGAGAGTCAGTCCAGGGTAGCTCAGGTAAATCCGTAAACTGATCAGGTTTTTGGTTCTGTGTGCTCAATCAGACATTGCTGTGCAACGAGGAGGGATATAAATGTGCCGTCCACGCTCCCTAAGCTCACCTCCTTTTGCTTGCACAGTGGAGTAATGTAGGCATCTGTTATGAGAGAGCACACAGCCAGCTTGTAAATCCACTCTCCAAATTATTTTGCAATAAACTCCCCTTCCCTGCCCAGAAAAGAGCCACATACTAAACTTTCCTGCCCCGGAACAGCCTCGAGTTTCACCTGAATCCTTCATCCCACTGACTGATCAAAAAATTCACCTTCTGTAACCAGGAAGATTCTGAACCACCTATTTCTAGAAAATGTTAATATTGCAGTGTTTATGTTATTATTACAAACAATAAGAAATATTTTTACTACATGCTACATTTTACTGCATTTATGCTCAATGCATAAATCAATTGTAAACATTACTGTAAGTCACATTTGAAGTCACATCCTCTTGTAATTGGCATAACTCTTTATTAATTGAGTGATAAAACCAGAACTATAGAAGTAGTCACATGGCCCCAAGTCACCCTTCCACTCAAAAAATCTGCAGGCCTTTGCCTTCACTGAACTCCCTCAGCTGCCTCAAAAGATAAAGGAGTAATTTTGTTGGGGTTTACAACATCAAGACAGTATGACACCCACCAAGCACCCACCTCTAGGATCATGTCTCTAAGAAAAGCCTCACCAAAATAGTTAGTCCTAACAAGAACTCCTATAATCCATCTGCTGCTCAGATTTTCATACATCTTAGACCTCTTTACCCACAGCCCAAAACTGGGCACAAGACCTTCGAGCAGACCTCCTATTCACACAGTTCCTCTTACAAATTTTTGGTGTATAAACACCAGTGAGCCCATGGTCGGTTATTTCTCCTTGTAAGAGCATCTTCTGTTACAAGAAACGTGATCTCTGGATTTCAGAGATGAGCAATTGCTTTACAGCAGTCTTCCACGTATTCACTTCACCAGTTAGAAGCTGCTACATGACAACAAACATGAGATTTTCTGCTGCCCTACTGCAGAGAAAGCGGGGCATCCCTTCCTCCTTTTGGGAAGCACTGCTTCACATTTTAGCTAAGTAAATACATTCTCACTTCCAACATATTCCTCAACTCATACTTTATACTTCACCAATCTAAACATCACAAAAAGAGAAATTCTGGAAACGCATCCTGAGAGTGTTGCTCTGTTAAAATACCTGCTGAATAATCCCTGCAGGGATGTGGGCAGGATGGCCCAAATTGTGTCAACTGGAGTGCAAATCAAAGCATAACCCAATCTGCTGAAGTCTTCAATGTTCAGGACTATACCTGCATTTTTTTCTACGTGCGGTGTTTGTTTTGTCCCACTAAGAACACAGCCCACAGCATTACTTTTAAAAGAAGTTGATCTAGATGTAACTTCTTATAACTCAGCCCAGAAAAAAAAAAAAACAACTTTTTTTTTTTTTTTTAAAAAACTATTGCCCATTTCGTTTCTCTCAGGTAGGATATGAGACTTCAATCAAAAAAACACCCCAGAAACCAGTAATACCTATGCAGATTAATGAAGTTTGTTTAGATGTAACTTTTTAAAACCCAGCCCAAAAAAAAAAAAAAACCACTTTTTTTTTTTTTCTTCAATAACAGCTGTGCCAAAAAACAGACATCCTGGTAGGAAGTGAATTCTCCAGCCTGATTTGCATAAAACAGGGAGTGACCAAACTGGAAGGCCCCAAGTGTTTCAGGACACACGTTCTGCTTGCTGTCCAACGTTCACCGAGAAGTTCAGAGAAAGCAACTGGTGTAACTGAGAACGTGAAGGAAATGCAGCAAATGTTTTCTGTAAAAGGAGACATATAAAGAGAGGATATGGGCACGTGCATAAAAAACAATAAATCTTCAAGTGGCAGCAAATATGAGTCTGTGGCAACTGCCTAAGATCAAGAGGACAGTCAACAAAAATGAAGCCAACACCTTTTTGCATAACACAGGTCAGCTATTAAACTCTCGGTGACTCTCCCCATGGCCAACACATCCACACAAATCAAGAATGATGCGGAAATTACGGCAAAAATGATCTCACCTAACTTCAGGTATTAATAACACAGATAACAAATTCACAGTTCACTGCCTTATGTGACCTTTACAGGATCAGATGGGCAATGCAGTAAGTGCCATTCATACTGTGGCAAAGAAACTTCAGAGAAGCCTGGGAGGACCACACTTCAAGGGGCTGCCAGTAAGATCAGGGGAGCATCGACGACCACCTCCGATGTCTCCAGCAGTATGAAAATCCCAAGGAAAACTCACTGGCATAAGCCAGTTTAGAGACCAGCAACACAGACAGAATGGAGCTAGCATCCACCCTCATCCACCTCTCATACATCCTTCTAAACCACAGGGTATTGGAAACATAGACCATCTCAATTCTCACTCACTACGGCTATGCCTTTTATTTCTAGGAGAAGCCAGGCTGCACATACTTCTAGTGAAATTCCAGGTATATCAAAGGTGGCTGGGAGCCACACAGGCATTACTAAAACGAACACCACTTAGCCTTTGGCACGCGTCGCTTGAGCTGTGCAGAAATGGTAAAAAATCAACTGCTTCCCTGATAATCATCCCCAAAACGAGCTGCTGCAGGTATCCAAAGTCTGCATGTTCCTAAAAGCCCTTCTGCCCGAACTGTTTGTTCAGAAAACTGCCTGTCAATGTTTGCCCATGTAAATTTTCTGTACAGAAAACCGCCTGTCAATGTTTGCCCATGTAAATTTTCTGTACAGAAAACCGCCTGTCAATGTTTGCCCATGTAAATTTTCCCTCCCCAACCTGACACTTGCCAAACTGGCAAACACAAATCTCCAGCAGCGCCACAATGATCCAACACCTGGGACATCCAAGCGTTCACAGTCAGGCACACACAATCGGTTTGCAGCACTGATGGAAAATCAAGGCCTCCCCTCCCCACCAGGAACAAGCGCAGGTGTCACGGTGCTACTGCTCCCTTTGAACCCTCCTTCTCACCTGGGCTCTCATGCCCTACGAAGCCACGGGCCACCCTCCATTTCTGGGAGCGCCACTTTCACATGACTGTCTGAGGAACAGCACGCACTCCCCATCCCTCTGCTCCCCGTCCCTCTGCCCCCCGTCCCTCTGCCCCCCGTCCCCTCCTTCAGCTGCGCAACCCAAAGAGGGGCTCGGGCAGCCCCTGGCCATGGGGCAGCCCCACGCTTTGGGCTCCCCCTGCCCCACTTGCCCCCCTAGGCACCCTCCCCAGCACGGGGACAGCTGCTGCCTCTCCTGCTCCCATGGCGGGGCCAGTTCAGCTCACCGGCCCAGCGCCAGCGAGGGACACCGCGGGGAACGGGCGCTCCCACGCACACGGTGCGGGGCTCGGCCCCGGGGGGCTCCCGGCCCCGCGGGGA